TCAAAATAAAGATTAAACTATTTCCCTAATGGTCTTGCAAACACTTGGAGAGAGACCACAGCCATGCACAGTCCTTTATCTACCTTGAGTCTCCTTCCTGCCCCCAGCCCACGTTCATCATTGCCTGAGGTGGCATCAGAAGAAGCAGCTTCATTTTTCTGACCCTACTTTCCAGTTGTTGGTTTTGTTTTGTGAGGAGATGAAGTGTTTTAAAGGAAAGTAAGTGGTATCTGCTTTCGGCAGCTGTTAAGCCTTGCTGTTTCCTCTTCTGAGTAAAAGATAAGTGAGCATTCTTTGGGGTGGTATTTGAAGTCACCTTCATATATAAATATATATATTCCTATGTATAATATGGACAAGACTGTGGTTTGTTTTCAATCCAAATTCTCCAAGGGCACACCAGAAACCAAGGCTGCTGGCCAATGAGTCAGTGAATCTGGTTCACACCAGGTCACCCGGGGACCCTGGGTGTCAGAATGAGTTGAAGTGGGTAATTTAGGTTAAATAACTGCAGGTATGAATGCGAGATGCAGGCCACCTGTAGAGTTCTGTTGCTGTCCAGTGAGGGAGCGCTGGAGGTTGACGATAAAGAAGGAACAGCCGTTGACTTCAGAAGAGACACAACACTCAGGAAATGAGAGCGTTGAGGTTGAAGTGAATTTTGGTTTGGGTGGTTTTGTGTTGCATCTGGAGAACCCAGGCCACCAGGAGGTATCTTAACAGTTGCAAGTCTTATGTCCATTAGGGGAAAAATAGTTTTGTTTTGTTTTGTTTTTGAATAATAAGATGTTGAGTGCTGGGTGGTGGTGGTGGTGGCACACGCCTTTAATCCCAGCACTAAGGAGGCAGAGCCAGGCAGATCTCTATGAGGCCCAAAGCTACACAGAGAAACTCTGTCTCGAAAAACAAAACAAAACAAAAAAGATGTTGATTTATATAATCCTAGATATTTCTGATTGAATGTAAAATTTTGAAGCTAGACAGTGGCACAAACTGTAATCCCAGCTGTTCAGGAAACTGAGGCAGGAAGATTACAAGTTCAAGGCCAGTCTGGTCTACAGAGAGAGTTCCAGGACAGTCAGGACTACACAGAGAAATGCTGCCTCAGAAGAATGAGAGAGAGAGATTTGATTCCAAAAGTCAGACTTTAACCTTAATGTGTTTAGCTGTATTTTGTCCGATGTAGACAGGAAGGCTGGGGAGGGTTCGACATGGAAATGGACAAGCAAAGACACAGCTCCTCTGTGGAATAGATGTCACAGCAAGGGAGGAGGACAAGCAGAGCAGGGTCGATGGCAAATGACGACTTCAGCAGAAGACGTTCTCAAGGTCCAACACGTCTAGAACACTCCCAGATAGTGGGAGTCTCAAGGGTCAGGTGTCAGAGAAGTCTGTCTTTGAGTCCCAGAGGTTTGGTGACCAACTGATTTGACTTTGAAATGGTTTGGTTATCAAAACAGAACTCTGATGAACGTCTACAAGTCAGTGGACACTTAGAGCTGGAAAGCATCTATGGCATCGGAAGAGGGATGTTAAAACTGCAAAACCTTTGGGGTTGATAAAACTACAGTGTTGAGTAGCCCCCCACCCCCCCAAGCCTTTAGCCCAACAATATTCATGGTGCAGTACACAAGACTAAGGCTTCCGAGAGCCTGCGTTACTCATGGGAGCTGTAACTCCTGTCAGGGGGAGAGGGCAGGAAGCAGCTGAGGTGGACCAGCACAGCCAGGAGCCTGGCCTTGGTCTGCCTGCTTGTTTCGTTTCTCATGGTTCTGGGATTAAGCCCAGAGTTCTGTGCCTATCAGGTAAGCACCTTCCACTGAGCTGCATGCCCAGCCTTTTCTGTAATTTTACTTTTGAGGCTGGGTTTCACTAAGTTGTCCAGGCTGGCCTTGAACTCACTCTGTGACCCAAGTAGGTCTTGAACTGATCCTCCTGTGTTCACCCACAGAGTAGCTGAGCTGACAGGCCTGTGCCCCTGGGCCAGGCTCGAGAGACCTTTCCTGCTGCAGTATCTCTGTCCTAAAGAGAGCTCCACCTTCCCTGTGTGCACTTGCATTGGTCTTCAGCTCTGCCACCGTCCACGTGGGCTTTTGTTACTGAGTACAGAGTGTACCCCCGACCCACCCTGAACAGTGACAGAGACACCCTGAAGCTCCGGTGTGCTCTGTGCCCCAGTGTTTGTCGATGAGCACAGGCTGTGAGCACAGCAACTGAAGACATGTCACCTTCCTGCCTGTCCTGCTAGAGTTGTTACAGTGAGAATACATTGGGGCGCAGGCGTGGAAGCCCCTGGCTACAGTCCTAGCACCCGGGAGGCTCAGCTATGAATCACAAGTTTGAGGCCAGCCTGGGTTATATAGTAAGACACTTTGTTTCTGGTTTTTAGACTATTTTCAGTTTTCACACATTTTATTCTACTTCTGACCTGAGGATGTTTCTGTTACTTCCACATCCTTCATCCCTTAGCGGTGTTGATGGAAATAGATGGACACACTGACCCCATGATATGGACAGAAGAGCACCTCTGGCTTCTGTCCATGAGCCTGGGGCCTCAGGGGACTAAGGCCAGAGCCTGTCTCCCTTCCTACCTCTGCAGATTGGGAGTCATAGCTCTTCTTTAACTGTAAAGTGGGGACGTGTGTCACTGAGTGGTCGGGCAGATTAGTGCAGGTAATACCAGGACACACTCAGCCTGGGTCACAGTGAGTGGGTCACAAATACCAGCCACTGTGGAGCCTAATTGTGCACTCCAGACCAATGAGAGAGCCTGTCTCAAAGGAGGTTGATGGTATTCCTGAAGATGATGACTGAGGTTGTCCTCTGGCCTCCACATGCACACATCCACATGCATTACCCCCCCACACACACATGCACACATCCACATGCATTATCCACACCCACACAGATGCACACATCCACATGCATTACCCACCCCCACACACACATGCACACATCCACATGCATTATCCACACCCACACACATGCACACATCCACATGCATTACCCCCCCACACACATCCACACATCCACATGCATTATCCACACCCACACACATGCACACATCCACATGCATTACCCCCACACACACACACATGCACACATCCACATGCATTACCCACCCACACACACACATGCACACATCCACATGCATTACCCACACACACACATGCACACATCCACATGCATTATCCACACCCACACACATGCACACATCCACATGCATTACCCACACACACACATGCACACATCCACATGCATTATCCACACCCACACACATGCACACATCCACATGCATTACCCCCCCCCCCCCACACACATGCACACATCCACATGCATTACCCCCCCACACACATCCACACATCCACATGTATTACTGTGTTCAACCCTTTTAAGGGGTAACAGCTCTCTTTTAAAGGGGGCTTGCATTTTGCTTGTACCACATCTATATTTGGGCTAGGAAATGGGTCTGGAAACTGCATATTTTTAGTGGTGTTAGGTGATGTGGGATATTCCTCATTAGGACTCATTGTTGGAAAATCGTTACTCTAATCACAACTAAAGGAAAGCACGGGAACATGCCAGGTGCTTGAGAGAATCCTAGAGTAAGGAGTCGGGCCCCCCTCCTCCGAGGAACCTGTGATCTCTCCTTCCGCCTCTACCCAGCTTTGCAGAAGCACAGAGAACGGCCGCTCCTATCTCCAGCAGGCCCTGCCCTTCACGGGGAGCTGACCACGGTGGCCCTGAGCTGGCAGGTGGCCCCGAGGTCCTTTCTTCAGACATGAGTTACCCAGAACCCTGTGTGTACAAGTTCTTCTGGGTGCTTTCTGTCCTGTCCAAGGTACAGCATACCGAATCCAACTGTGTCCAAAAGGAAAAGGGCCCGTACCTATTTCAGCTCTACAGATTCTACTCTTCAGGAATTAGCTGTACAGGCAAGAGGAGGACTTTCAAGAGGCCTTTGCTTTCTTTATAGAGTGTTCCAGAACATGCCAAGCCTCTGATCCATCCCCTTCCCCCAGCCCTCTTCTGTCTTCACAGGGCCTCATCACTCACCTTACCTCAGGGACTCTGGGTAGACTTAACCTATGTAATAAACTGAGTATTTACAGACAAATAATTGATACATCATACTTTGCTCCAAATATTTATACCTCTGTGTACTGTTCCTCTAGTAACGGGAGACCTGGTAATGTTAACTAGAGAAGCAGGCACAATGGAAGGAAATCAACATTTCATCAGGAGTTGATTCATAAAGGAAAAATTAGGGTTGGCTAGGAGAGACAGCAGCAAGGGGAACCATCTGTGGACTGAGGAAGAAGTGGGGGGCCCTCTGAGGAGGCAAGTTTAAGTTAACTGAAGGAAGAAAAAGAGCCAGCCAAGGAAAACGGTGGTGAGAGAGGGTCCGTTAATGGAACAGCTAGGATAAACACCTTGAGGCAGGGACACAGGCTTGTTCTGTGAGTGAGGGTAGGTGATGAGTGGGGCCACAGAAGGAGGGAGAGACCTGATCCTGAGGCCCCAGCAGTTCTGGTGTGACACTAAATTGGCCCTATGGGCATTGACAAGGAGCCGGGTTCCTCAAAGGTCCCTCTTGAAATAACTCTTCAGTGCCAAGTGAATCTAAGGAAGGCAGAGGTGAGAGCAGGAAGCCCGTGGAGGGGCAGAGATGTACACTGTCGTGGTTCTGAAGAGCAGAGCTGGTGAATGGAGCTGGGCCTGCCATGGAACTGGGCAGAAACGGGCAGCTTCATGATATGCTCCAAGTTCAAGCCCAAGGTTCTTTAAGGGACAAAGAAGAGGAAGGACCAAGAAAGCCACCATGGCACTAGTTTTCAGGCCATTTTCTTCAAGTGTGTGCTCTCCCTCCTACCCCACACTCACAGGGCTATCCTTTTTTAGCTGGTTGAGTTTTCCATGAAGCTTGGGTGCCCAGGCCAATCTGGATGCTGAAGAGCATGATCAGGAGTCTGACAAGCAACTTGCTGTTTATTTTGCAGCCCACCAGGACCTCCTCTGAAAGTATTTATTCTAGACCAGGCTCCAGCATCCCTGGCTCACCAGGCCATACTATCTATGTAAGTATCACTTCCAGAAGGGACATTTTGGAAGAATATGAGTTCGAGGATTGGAATAGCAGGATAGAGAGTCCAAGAAAGGAAACTGATCCATAGGGATCTCTGATCCTGTTAGAAGATCCCAATTTCTCTTTGTCATTCAGGCTTCTCAGTCATAATTCCTTCGATCATCGTATCAAAAGATGACCCAAAAATGCAGTCACATGATATAGGGCTTAAAAGATTGTCGCACCTAACATGTATATAGATACTTGGAGATTAACTGCACATTTTATACTGCTGCCTCAAGTGTTCTTAAAGTCTGCCACAAAGGTATTTACATACTTAGTTCATTCAATATGCCGTTACTTGTATTTATCAATCTTCAAGGATCTATTGACCATCTATTTGACATTGTCCCCCCCCCCCCCCCGCCCCCGTAATAAACTTAGGAAACTATTCTGAAGGTTGACATATTTCTCTATTCATTAAATCCTACCCCTTCTTAAGCCTTTGATGATTTTTTTTTTATTTTTAAGTGTGATTAATAGAGGCGTCAAGGGACAACTTTCTAAAGGGTATGACATCACTCAGCAAGGCATTTTGGTTTGTTTTAAGGGTCATGTTTTAAATGAGGAATAAAGAGCACAGAGGATAATTTCTCAACAAGCTGAAATAGAGGATTAATTTTTCTCTCTGTTTAACTCTGACAGGCAAAAGTAGACAATGAAATACTGGATTACAAGGATTTAGCAGCCATTCCCAAAGTCAAGGCAATTTATGATATTGAGCGTCCAGACCTCATTACCTATGAGCCCTTCTACACTTCAGGCTATGAGGACAAGCAGGAGAGACAGAGCCTTGGAGAGGTAATGGATTCCCAGGGGCTGCAAGCAACATGGCTACCCATCCGCTCTTTTCACTCACCTGTGTAAGAACTACTAAGCTAAGCCAGACTTTGCCCACCCCCTGAAGAGTCCTGTAACTGGTCTTTGAGGTACTCAGACCTAACCTGTGACCCTTGTGTAACGAGTCTTTCTCTGTCCCACCAGCCAACTCCAAAATAATGACACAGAGACTTATTATTAATTATGAAAGCTTGGCTTTAGCTTAGGCTTGTTTTTAACTAGCTCTTATAACTTAAATTAACCCATATTTTTATTAATCTACATTCTACCACATGGCATTTTACCTCCATCCAATTTTGTGTGTTCACCTCATTCCTCATCTCTCTCACCTCTAGATACATCTCCTACTTCCCCTCTCCCTGCCCCGAAGTCCACCTATACCCCTTGGCTAGCTATTGGCCATTCAGCTCTTTGTTAAACCAATCACAGCAATATATCTCATACCGTGTACAAATATCCTACAACACCCTTGTCCTAAAGGAGGGTGCAGAGAGGTAGGCAATTAGCCCGTTGCGTGTTAAGACAACTGTGAAGGGTGAGTTAGGTGTAGGATATGTGCTGGGGTGGGACCTGCAATTGTGGGGAGGGAGGTTGGGGGAGGGGTCTGGGGGAGGGGCATAAAGGAGGGGGCTGGGGGAAGGGCACTGTTAAGGGAAGGAGGGTCTTAAGGTATCTTGGCCTTAGGATAAGTTGGAAGTATATTTCTAGGGATCATGAGAAGTGAGACCACACCCTTAAATTTTAGTAGATTCAGTTTCCAGCATCTTAATGGAGGGGGTTATGGAGAGAGGACACTATGGTAGTGGGGTTCCTAGAATCAATTACTGGAATTCAGCCTCAAGTATCACCACAGGCTGGTTTTGACTTTGTCATGTGACAGCCATTGTGATCCCAGTTTCTCATCAGGAAAACAGAATTATGGTAGATAGCTCCTCACAGGTGTCTGTATGGATTAAAGAAACTGTGACCAGCAGTAGGCAGAGGGGCAGACTGGCACATGCTCAGCACATGCTCAGCCTGACAGGGGCCACTACTGTGGCTGTCTTCTAAGGCTTATTACTGCCCAGGAAGCAGGCCTGTCCTTCTGCTGGGCCAGAGCCTCTCCATCTAAAGAGCTGTGTCCCCTGTGCCCTCCTGGGGTGGGAGTTCACTATACCTCCTCTGACCCTGATCCTTCAGCCCCTTAATTTATTCTCATTTTTCCTTTATTTTTATTGAACAGACTAACAGACACATGCTTTCCCACAGCATGACACTCATGTCTGTCCTCTACTTTATCTGTTATTTAAATTGGAGTCATCTGTAGCCTGATTGGACTCCATTCAGAGAGGTATTACCAAGTAATGAACTTAACTCAGCTCTTCAGCCAAGGTTAAACCAGACTGTAGCTGGAGTTTTTTTCAGTCCCGCCTGGGCCCACAGCTGCTCAGATCCAAATAAACACACAGAGGCTTATATTAATTAAAACTGTTTGGCCTAATGGCTCAGGCTTCTTGCTAGCTAGATCTTACACTTAAATTAACCCATCTTGGTAAATCTACACCTTGCCACATGGCTCGTGGCTTACTGGTATCTTTACATCTTGTTTTCCATGGTGGTGGGTGGCAGCATCTCCTGACTCAGCCTTTCTGTTCCCCAAATTCTCCCTTTCTACCTGTCCCACCTATACTTCCTGCCTGGCTACTGGCCAATCAGCATTTTATTTATTAACCAATCAGAGCAACACATTCACAGCATACAGAGTGATATCCACAGCACCAGACTGTAGTCTGTAGCATCCCACCATGCTTCTAGATTTCTATGAAGTGAACAAAAGGCCTGAGGTACTTGTATCGGTCTAGCCTTTGGGATACTGAGCAGGAGGATCATATAAAATCCTATCTCTATATCAGTGCTCCCCAAAAGGCATGATAATAGATGACTGCATTTAATTTATTCCCAGTTATATATATAATTAGTATTTTCTGTTTAATAATAATTATATGTATTTGTAATTATATAATATTCCTTTTATTTGCTTATTTCTAATGTGGGTTTTATTAAAGTCTGCATTAAAGTCCCCAGTCTGGCAAAAAGGGACATGCATTTTTACATAGTGCCACCTGGTGGTTCACTTGCTGTACTGCGTCTGCAGCCAGCGCTTGGCCTGGGCTCTTAGCTGCCATTGATCCCAGAATCTCACAGAAGTCGATGGTCAGGGCAGCTTCCTGAACAAAGTATATAAAGACTGGCCTCGAGTCGGTGGCCAGGGATTTCCTCAAGCTCAAAATGTACACATTTCCAAGAGGAAACTGTTGCTTTTTTAAATGATGTTAAGGGTGCATGTGTGCTGTATACACACTTGCATGCCTCTCTTGGGAATGATGTGTGTATGTTATTGTTGTGTGTTGTATTTTCCCAACAGCTCCCTCCGGAGCAGCAAAATATCAAGCAGAAAATTAGCTTTGAAATGAAGTTTGGGGCACTTAAAACTTGGTTGTGACACCTCCAAACTCAGAACTTTGGAGAGCAAACTTGGCAGGTTTTCCATAAGGAAACTTGGCAGGTCTTTCGATTAGACCAATACTGACATCTGACAAAGATGCCCAGCATCCCACCAGTTCCCACAATCCACTCTGTTTACAGTGGTGGCCTATTGTTTCTTTGTACATAGAGGATACCCCTTTGGGACAGAAATTGATACACTAATAAACTCCCTTTGGATGCATGGATTTTGCTACCGAATAAACATGACAATCTATTATTTATTCCATTAGTTATTACTCTTATTTTGTAAATTCATGCCTTCTTTTAAAGACCCAGAAGGGACGGGGAGGTGGCTCAGTGGGCGAAGGGCTTATCACAAAACATGAGGGCTGAGTTTGATTCTCAGAACCCACAAAAAATGCTGTTTGGCAGCATGTGCCTGTCATCCTGTGCTGGGAGGTGGAGACGTGATTCCTGGGGTCTGCATCTGGCAAGTGTGAATTGATGAGCTTGCAGGTCCAGTGAGAGAACTGTCACAAAAAATAAAGCAATTACAGAAAACCCTTGACATTGACCTCTAGCCAACACATACACACACACACACACACACACACACACACACACACACACACACAGAACTTAAAATTTGATATAATTATTGGCACATTTCAAAGGTATATGAGTGGTGAGTGGTGGTGAGTGGGTGGGTCAAGGAGCCCACCATTGGCAAGTTCATGCCTAGCTTCTGCTCCCTGGGGAGAAGGTGAGCGTGAACAGGGATCACAGGAGGTGTGAGGTAGGTTTGGGCCCAGACTTCTCTGGAGCTGAGTGAGCTCTGCAGGTGTGTAAAAAGCACTGGTGGCAGAGGAGATGCAGTGCAAAGGTCTTGGGGTGACAGCGCTTCATCTGCCTATCAACCCAAAGTGACGGACACTGGATGGTGTGTGATGTGAGGGGTCTTTTCACACTGACCAAACTATCTTACTATAATTGTTGTGGTTCTGAATTAGTTAAAGTCATATTAACACAATCCTCTGTTTCCTTGGCTGTCCTAACATGAAGAAATATCATAAACACAAGTAAACATGGGAGGAAAATAGTTGCAACTAGTTCCACAACGTCTTCATTAACTCCATGGTCCTTGGGTGGAAACATTCCTGCGTCTCCTGGGACTTGGCTGGAGTTTCCCATCAGCCCCCTTGCAGATGCTGGCCTGTGTTGGAGTGATGCTTTGGGCTCCATCAAAGCTGGTAGGAGGTTAACCAAGGTGTTGACTTTAAATTCTCTCTTGTTCTTCTAGTCTCCAAGGACTTTGTCTCCTACTCCATCAGCAGAAGTAAGTATCATTTGGCCATATTTATGGGTGGAATGGGGAGTGGCTCTGACCTTGTCTACACTTGAATTTTTGAAGAAGTACTTACCGACATACTAAAGGACAGCAGAATTGATAGCAATGATTGTTAAGGATTACTTTACATGCAAGCCAAGACAATGACAGCATCACACTTGTAAGGGGGACTCAAGAGCGTAAAAGCGGCCTCCCACAGTTTCCAGCATGCACCACTGGTAGGAACAGAGGCCAGCACATGTCTGCAGGAACTGAAGCTGTTGTCCAGTGTGGGTCTCTGGGCCCCTGTCTGCACTTGAGGCATATTAGACAAATAAGACATATTAGAATGTCTGGAAAGGCTGGAGGGAGTTACAGCATAATCTCTAAACTGAAGCACTTCGTGGTCAATCACCTCTTCTGGACTGATCCAAAGCCAGGCCGCTTGCTGGATCGTTTCTGTTTTTTGTTGTTTTGTTGTTTTGAAACAGGGTTTTACAGAGCCTTAACTGGTCTGAGCTCACTGAACGTTTTTGGTTTGGTTTTTTTTTTGGGCGGGGGGGTTGGTTTTGTTTTTTCCAGACAGTGTTTCTCTGACTGTCCTGGATCTCACTCTGTAGACCAGGCTGGCCTCAAACTCACAGAGCTCTGCCTGCCCCTGCCTCCCAAATGCTGGGATTAAAGGCACTCGACACCCTTGCTTAGCTATGGTATTAAACTTCTAATCCTCCTGCCTCCATCTCCTGAATGCTGGGATTACAGGCATGGACACTTTTTTTATGCAGTGCTGGAGATCAGGACTTCATGCATGCTACCAATTGAGCTACACAGCAGCCTTGCCGGATACTTCTTTACCAAATTGACTGATCACAGTGGGGATGCTCTGTAATCTGAGCTGGTGGAAAGTCCACGGCATTTCCATGTTTGTGACTGAGTGCTGTAACAGAGGCTCCCCACCCCACCCCAAAATGTACAGTATTTCTAAAGCGTTTGTATTTGACCAGCTTCAAACTGGACACCGTCCTCTGGGAGCTTTGCTTGTATTTTTGTTGCAGCTAACTGGGACGGCCCCAGCTCCTCTTGCTGCTGCTCGTCACAGTCACAGCCACGCCTACTCAAGTATTAATGTGGTTGCTGTTTGGGTGTCCTTTTGAGGCGAACACAGACACTTAGAGAGGCAATTCCCCAGCATCCTCTGTAGACTGGGTTTACTTAGAAATGTCCAATAATCATGGGATGGTGTTTTGTCTCACACTTTCTCAAACTTTGTGGCAGGGTTACCAGGATGTTCGGGATCGGATGATCCACCGGTCTACCAGCCAGGGCTCCATCAACTCCCCTGTCTACAGCCGTCACAGTTACACTCCAACCACATCCCGCTCACCACAGCATTTCCACCGACCTGGTAAGGCCACCCTTCCTGGGATCTGCTATATACTGAATGTGTATCTGTGTGAATTTCTTTTCATACCATAGGTAGCATATTAAAAAACCTGACTTAAATATTTCTACCCCTCTCGAAGAACAAGATGAAAACTGGTATCCATCTTCATTTTGTATTATATCTTAGAAAAGTCAGTCATTCCATCAGTGGGTTCACTGTGAGTTATTGAATTACATTTTGATATTGGCCTGCTGAGAACAAAGGGTATTTGTAAAGAGTTGATGAAAATCTCATCTGTACGAAACTTAAAACAAAGATCTGAATGAAAAAAAATTTTTTTTTCATTTTATCTGCATCTTCTAAAGTCCAACATTAGCCATTGGTTGGAAAGTTTAAAACCCTCCCCCAGGCACACGATGTTACATCATCAAGCCTTTTCTAGAGTGAGGCTGTAGAGTCCCATTAGGCAACTTTAAGACCCATTCTACCCCTAAGAGTTGAAATCAAACTTGGCAAACCTGAAAGCCTCAGGGATGGAGTGGCCATCTCAGTCTCTGTGGCTGTAAGTGTATGGAGCAGAAGAGTGGAAGCCCCAGCAGAGATTCAGAGTGCTCTGAGAAAGAGTTATGGAGAGGTATCAAAGAGATATGCTATGTATCTAGAAGACTGCATCTCAAGCTGAGAACTTGTGATACTCTGTATCTAGAAGTCTCCATCTCAGGCTTCTTGCTGCTGGACAGGCTAATGAGAACAAATGTATCCAAATGCTAACTTTTAAATAAAAGAATGAAAACCAATAGGAGTGATCAGAAAGTAGAAAGGCTGCAATCTTCTTTTCAAGGTTGTAGATGTAACTCACCCAGAGGCCTGGAAGCTATTGGATCCTTGAGTAATAGATCAGTTTCTCCAGACAAGGCTGGGGATGTGGCTGTGCAAAGTGCTTGCCTACCACGGGTGAGGCCCTGAGTTCAATTCAGCACCACATACACAAAAATAGACTTAAACGTAGTTTTTAATACTTATTATATTATGTTAAATGAATGTTTTCAGGATATTCCTTTTCGGGATGTAACTATAGTCATTTTATTTGTACCTGGCCATGAGTTTTTACTTAATCTTTTGGTAATTTGAAATCACTTCATTGCTACTCTACATATTACATGCTTAGACCACCAAACCCTGCCCTGACCTTGTCAGAGTAGCACGTGGCCACAGAGAAATTGTCCTTTGAAAGCATCCTGAATAGCGATGGAATGGCCGCTGAGCACAGTTGTTCCTTTAAAAGGCCCTATTTGTGTTGAGCATGAGGAAGCTTTGCCTCTTTAGTCATGGTTTTGTTGCTACAGCCTCCAGAACATTCTCTGCCTTTTCTCCCAATAGCACACATGTGGAAGACACCAAGCGTTCAGCGTTGAAATGTTTTTGGTGCCTAGAAGTGAAACATATTTGTATCTCTGTGGAGCAACCAAGTACCCACCCTGTGCATTCTGGATGCCAGATGATGTTTTAATTCCCTGAGTCTGGCTTGAGTTTTGATGGTCCATTCTCCCTCTGAGCAACTGGACTTCTGCCTCTGGAGTCCTCGCCACTGCCAGCATCCTCTGTAACTCTGCCCACCCAGCTAATACAACAGGGATTTCCTCATGCATAAGGAATATGAAATAAAATGCAATTTCCAGTAGGCTAAGCCCTTGTGGCTTAAAGACAAAATGAAACATGACCCTTACATATAAAGATATCTCTTCAAGATTCTTAAAATGATTGTGGTGTGTTTACATGGCTTTCTGCGGGTCGTTTTGTTGAATACACTTTAAAAGCAGCTGTTGAGTCTATGTGATATGCTCAGTCCTAGCACTGTGCGGTTGGCATTATTATGCCAATGATCCAGAGACCATGCTCAACAAGCCATTTATTCTCAGAGATTGACTCGGTGACTACCTGCGCCAGTCTGCAGATTATGCCCTCTGCCTAGCCCTCCACGGGTACACTCCTAACCCTCTGTCCTTCCTCCTTTTTCAGATTCCTGATTAACGCTCTTCCTTTCCTCCCCACCTTGGGCACCTGCCCAGCTCCTGTGTTAATTTCTTTCTTCTTTTCTGTTTCCACCTCGCCCTGTCCCGATTGGGTGATTCCCTGCTGCACAGAGCTTTTGTCTCCTGGTGTGCACAGGTGGTCCCCCCTGCGCACCAGCAGCTTCAGCTCCACCCACAGCGACTCCCGTCCCAACCCCCCCTTCAGACACCACTTCCTCCCCTATGTCAAAGGTAAGGAGGCAGGCCTCTGCAGGAGGCAGGGCACCTGGCCTGTGTAGTGGAGATTTATTAGCACCCCGCAAGGCTAATAAGATGTATCTCCAGGAGTGAGAGCCACCGAGCTTCTGACCCATCAGCATGCCTGTGCGTGTCCTGACTGCCCCTAACTATGGCCTTAGAACTGGCATGGCATCTCACATCCCAAGAGATGCGTCATTTCCAAGAGCTCTGTACAAAGAAATGGGGTGTGTACTTAGGAACTAAGATCTGCCTCCTACCGATTAGAAAAATATATTATTATTTTGTCTTTGTATGCGTCAGTGGCAAAATATAATATATACCGGGGTGTTTCCTTGGGTTTCATTTGTGATATGTTTCTGCAAAACACAAGAGTATTGAGTAGCAGATAACGAAAAGTTGTCTTCATGGTGATAAGCCATTGAACTATTTGAACATGTGTGGATGGTGTAGCTTCTCTCTCTCTCTCTCTCTCTCTCTCTCTCTCTCTCTCTCTCTCTCTCTCGTGACTGACTCTGAGTACTTTGCTTTTGATTTGTCCTAATTAATTTCCATATGATGGATCAGACAGGCTCTGCCTCCTTTTTTCTGTTCCCTGCCTGGCATTTCTCCCCTCTACTCCCTGGGTGGCTCTCAGGCTGTTCGCTTCCTTGTTGTGTGTGGTTCTGTATTATCCTCTGCCCAGGTCTCCACTTGGAGGAACTGAGAGCCTGGGCAGGCTGTGGAAGGCCACCCTTGCAGGGAAGGACCCCCAGAGGGTACTAACTTGTTCTGTTGCCTTGATCTGAACCCCACGAGGCAACAAAATGGCACGGGGAGGGAGGCAAGAGCAGCGGTTATCATGGAGCTGAAAGTGACCTTCGGGGATCCTGTGAGTCCCCAGTGTTCACAGCGCCTGTGTGTCTGGATCTGCCGCATAGCTGGGTAGCTGGAAGACTTCTCTAGCTCCTGAACACTCACCATCAGTCTACCCAAGCATTTGTAGCTTCCCTGGACCCCGAACAGTCGACTCCTGAAATGTAGATGTGCTAGGAATTGGGTGTGCGTTATCTCTCACTTTCGCTACTTCAGTGTTTTCCATGCTTTGCAAATAACACAGCCGGGGGCCTAGACAGGTGGTTCAGTGGTGAAGCCCTTTGCCTGCTCTTGCAGAGAGAGGACCTGGGTTAAGTACCCAGCACCATATGCAGCTCATAACCACTTCTACGGGGTTCTGATGCCCTCTTTTTGTCCCTCCAGTTACTACATGCACATGGTGCACAGACATACAGGCACACACATGGTGCACATACGTACAGGCACACACATGGTGCACAGACATATAGGCACACACAAGGTGCACAGACATACAGGCACACACATGGTGCACAGACATACAGGCACACAAAAATAAGTTGTTGTTTTTTAAAGAATAATGTGACTGACATGTGATGGAGCTGTATATCATTTACCATTAGTAAAACTCTTGATGTGGGCATAGCACGTTCCAGAAGTCTTGACTGGCTACTTAAAACCATTATTGAGAGTTAATATGGGGTAGTTTTTATGTCTGAGTGTCAAGGTTTTATTTTTTAGAATTTTTATATAGCCATAAAGAAATTACTGAGAAAAAGCTTCAGCTGTGCATTTTAATGAGAGCTTCATATAGTGGTCCTTGAACCAAACCAAGGTAACGGTTTTCACTTTTGACTCATTAAAGTATAAACTGCTTTGATTGTAATGTATTTTGCTTTCAGAGAGACAATTTTTGTTAAACAAGCCCTTTAAAATTCTACAGCATGTATACAAAAAAATTCAACACATTGGGGAATATCAGTGACACACCCTGGGTCTGGGCATTGCCACCAGGAGCCTGTGGACACTGGTATCTTGGATTTGAATATCTTCTCTGTTACGTTCGAGCTGTGTGACCTTGAATTGTCTCCTTGTCCTCCTGAACATCGTCTCATTTATAAATCAGAAGGAGAGGACAGGACTCTCTCCCAGGTCATCAGTTGTGTGAGGTGAGGTAGCCTAGTCAGGATGCAGCTGCCAGCATGGTGCTCTCTAGGTGCTTTTGTGTAGCTCAGGCTAGCTTCACACTTCCTGTGGAGAAGTAGATAACCTTGAATCCTTGATCCTTCTGCCTCTCTAGTCTCAGGTGCAAGGATCTCAAGTGTGTGCCCCCAAACCCAGTTTATGTGGTACTGGGGGTGAAACCCAGGGCTTATGTGCGCTAAGTCAGCATTCTACAGACTGAGATACACCCCCAGACCTTAGAGCATCCCTTATCGCATCATTCCACTTACTCTTCAGAGCATCCCTGTGATACAGGCCTAGTTGGGAGATTGCGCAGCCAGGGTCCTGATGAAGTAATTGATCAAAGGCTTACAACCAGGAAGAGGCAGAACCTGGACCAGACTGCAGGCCTCTCATATCCAGAGGGATTTTTTCCAGATTAGGTGCACTCGCTTTAGGATAAATCTACATGCACTCCTAAGTGTTAAAGCAAAATTTTATTTTCTATTTCCTTTTAACCAGAAAATTTCTTCTTTGTTGTTTTTTTGTTCTGGTTTTTTTTTTTTTTTTTTTTTTTTGAGACAGGGTTTCTCTGTGTAACCACCCTGACTGTCCTAGAACTCACTCTGTAGAACAAGGTAGCCTTGAACTCACAAAGATCCACCTGTCTCTGCCTCCCGAGTGCTAGAATTAAAGGAAACATTGCATTCTTATTGCGGCTAACACAAAGACTCATTTCAGTTATTTAAATAATAAAGTTGCAAACATTTTGCTCTCCAGTAGAAACATCAAATAGTTATAAAAATTGTAAGAGTTCTGTGAGCCTCGGTGATACATTGTCAAAAATTCAAAATGTGTTTTTTCTGTTTGAGTCTGAATTTGGCATTTTAAGTGTAGTCAAGTATTGTGGGTTTAAATTGTAAAAAGCCCTAAACCAAGAGGAGTTAGTATGGCCTTGACTTCATACTTAGACATAGTTAATGCTCTCACTCATTAGATATATGCTTATATTTTGCTTATATGGAATCACCTGTATGATTCATATATAACCTTACCTTCAGTTTTTAGATCAGATGTGCTTTTTACTAATCTAAAAAATAAATCATGGAACATTTGTTCATGGATACAGCTTTTACAGCCTAAGGCTGTTAATGACAACTACGGATTCTCCCAGGAACTACTCCTTGGTTATTTTAAAAAGCATGTTTCCATTTACATAGGAAGCCTTTATGGCCTTTGACCACTTCAGAATGGAGGAAACTTGACCACACCACAGATGTCTTTCAAATGGGATATTGTCTTATTTTGCATTTAATTTTTGTTTCCTTTTTTTTTTGAGACAAGCTGGCCTGGAGCCCATTATATAGCCCAGGCTTGCCTCAGCCTCCTCAGAGCTGAGGTTGCAGGCAATAAGCCACCATGCCCAGCTCTGTGTTATTTTTGGTCTTGACACCTAGCTGGCCACCATGGGGATTTCTGTTTTAATGAGTGTTCGTCAAAGAACGTGACTCGAAGGATGTCCATCCCAGGAATACAGAGCTAGAAACAGAAGAGGCCCTTGTCACTCTGGCAGCAGGAGCCCAGCCTTCTGTTGGCCAGGTCTGCTTCCTGGTCCCCATTTCTGATGCATGCAGCCCAGGCCCCCAGGGTTCACTGAACTGGAGACATGTGTGAGGTCTAAAGCTGGCAGGCTCCTCCCAGGCTGCCTCTGCCTCTCTAGCTTCCCCATCAGCTTTCTATAACGAAGACTATTATGCTCTGAAAGATTCCCATTTTCATCTGTTCTCCAACCTTTCTGCTCCATTCTGAATTGCAAAGTCCTGGCTGGGCCATTCAGACAACTTCATGCCTGGAGATTTGCAGAAACCAGGCTTTGCCGGATTCCTTCTCTCCCTTTTCCCCTTTGAAAACCTCTTAGACATCACATCCATGTCCAGGAGGTGAAAAAATAAGGTTGTGAATAGGAAGGCTACATAGATCAAGGTGCTGTAAAAGGAATCTTTCTTGTTAGGCTATAGATAGTGCTGCTACAAGGTAAACACATACTCAACATTTCCTGAAAGTAATCTAATCATTACTAAGGTTTTAGATGAGAAGGGGCCATCTTGAAACTCTGTCACAGAATTCTAGAGGCTGCCAACACTGAGCTCCGCCTAGATAGACAGTCATGATTTAAGAATATGAGCACACACCCTAAAAGCCAGACAGTGCTCCAGCACATGCTCCAGCACCGTGTTTATTCACTCCCTTTAGAATTAGTCATCAAGGCTCTCATGGCACCAGAAAGAATGAAAAGGAGGAAAATGTCTGAATTAAGTACAGTGAGAGTCCTGCCAGTGAACAGTCTCCCAGGGACCAACAGTCTGGCTGATTAGGCTGGCATGGGAGATGCTGAGAATTAACGATGAGAACTGTAAATGTAGGGGAAGCTTCCCACTGGCGTGACAGAGATCATTGAAACCAGCCTGGTGGATGGTGATGACGGTGGCTGTGCCTTCCAATGTGGCGCTTTCTCTCGCATATGCACTCAGTTTGCTGAGTGCTAAGCAAAACAGAAACTGTCTTGGAACTCCACTGGTTTTTCCTCCCAGAGTGGAGTTGGAAGTCATGGGATTTTTATTTTATTTTGCTTTCTATGCGCACTGATGTTTTGCCTGCATGTATATCTGTAGGAGGGTGTCAGATCCCCGGAACTAGAGTTACAGACCATTGTGAGCTGCCATGTGGGTGCAGGAATTGAACCCAGGTCCTCTAGAGGAGCAGCCAGTGTTCATCACTGCTGAGCCAGCTCTCAGCCTGGAAGTCATGTGATTTCAAGTGTTTATATTAGGAGAGACTTGATCTGGAGAATTTTTTTTCTTTCTTTTAAAAATATCACCTGATAGCTCAAATTTTTGGTAGTTTGGAGGCTAAGAATTTGGAATTCAACAACATTATCCACCACACAGCTCATTCCCTCACTGATCCACTGTGGTGTGTGAGTTACTATGGCTTCTTATGTGTAAGAAGTCCCTCAGTTTGAGAGATCTAGCTCTGGTAACCCAGCAAGCCAGGCTTGTTTGCCCGTCCTCGTGCCCCAGTTAAAGAGGTGAGTGATGATGAAGGCAGACAGAGGAGATACATGAGCATGTTAGGAAAAAGGAACACACGAGGTGTCCAATGACCTTCATGTCCACCTGTGGAGTCACCAGTAAAGCTTTAGATTAAAATAGAGGAATAACAGAGGCAGAGGGAAGAGCCGTGTATAAAGTCTTGGGTCCTGGTCAAGACATGACTCTGAGTAAATGTGTGTCATGCAGGTGTGAGGACCTAAGTTCAGAGGTCTAACACCTATGTAGTACCAGCCATGACGGTGGATGCCTATAACCCCGGCACTGGGAAATCAGAGACAGGCAGATCCTGGGGTCTCACTGGCCGGCCAGCCTAGCCAAAATGGAAAGTTCCAATTCAGTGGGAGACTCTGTCTCAAAAAACTAAGGTGGAGAATAATAGAGGAAGATGCCCAAAGTTGATCTCTGGCCCTTTCATTCACAGCCATGGGTGACTGTACCTGCACATGCACACACATACACACACACACATACACACACATATGAGTCCTGGTCAAATATCGTCCTGCCTATAATTCTCGGCTCCAGTACTGCAAGATGGTACATGTCAGCTTGTTAATTGCTGTTTTCATCCAGGGGTGATGTTCCTTGTGATATGATCTTCTCTAGGGTGTAGCTTTTGTATCATAGATAATTGTTCTTATCTTGGGGATGGTCTGTCCTGTGAGGATTCATTGTTCATACAGTCAATTTAAAACAATGACTTGTCTCTGCCCCTTCAGCATGGATGGGGAAAAGGATAGGTGGGTCAGACAGACATTCCTCAGGGACTGACAGACACTCCTCAGGGACCGTGCAGCATCAAGCAGGAGTCTGACTCAAAGCAAAGGAGATAGACACAAAATGAAGTAGAGATGACCAGCTTCCATCCTGCTCTTGGTTACTTGGTAGGCTCAGAGGAGGAGTCAGTGCCTTTCAGAAATCACTTTTACCTGCTGTTTGAGACAGTCCTGTGGGGAATTTTAGACGATCATAGAATTAAATCTACTCCCAAAGACTTACATATGCTACTAGTGGTTTGGGTTTTGGTTTTTAACAACTGGAAAGGTCATTGGTTGTTGAGGATACGCAACCAAGTCAAAAGCAACAGTACCATTACTGGTGACAGCACTCCTCGGTCCCAGAACCTTCTAGAGTCTTTACCTTACGGGAAAGTGATAGGTTGTTACTGCTGTCCGACACTGGGGGTCATATTGATGGAGCCTTGGAGCTGTTACCTGCCTTCAGCAACCTTCAGCCTCCACCCAGCATGTGCTCACGTGTCTTCAATGACCCTACTTAATCAATATTGAGATGTGGTTACTGAACACTCATCTGGCCAACCTTGTGAAAACCCTCTCCTGAATCCGGTGCTCTGCAAGGACACCAGGGTTGCAGGTGGATCCAGGGCAGGCAACAGTGTGCTTCAGAACTGACGGTAGTGAGGGGGTGGGACTTTTCTGTGCTTCCTTTGGTGAAAACTCCTAAGAACCTTCCGTTTTCAGCTTGTAGCAGTTGTCCAACACTTACGGGATTAAAAGATTCTTCTGGAGTGAAACCGTGAAGTTGGAGGATGGAGTAAAATGAAGAGATACAGGGAGCTGCCATTGTGATCCCATTGCTGGGTACCAGCGTCTGGGTTCCTTGAGAGATGTCATGGCCAATCCCACAGGGGCGCTTGCTAAGTTAGGTCAGGCATAGCTGTAGAAGGAGTAAGTTGGCCTGTACCGGTCATTCACTCTCAGGCAATTCCTAAGTGCTCGCTCTTGGCCAGGGGATGAGCTGAGTGTTGGTGAGAACGAAGGAGGGTCAGCTCTAGTTCAGCTGTCCATTGGGCATGGCATCTCATTTTCAAACACAAGCCATTACCTTCTCTCTCCTTTCCTTTTCTGCCTGTGTTTCTTCGTGCATTTTGTCAGATATGAACTAGCTGTTGCTCTTTGGGAGAGTAAGATTGTCACATTTTACTTCACTCCTGTCTTGGGGTGACCTAGAAATGTCTATGTGGAGACATTTAAATACTCGACACACCTTAAAGCCCTGGCAATTGATGTCTTTCGTGCTTTGCTGGTCAGATTTAGGACAGGTTGACTTGAAGAAGTTGGTCAAAACTTGTTTCTGACAGTGTATGACTTGCTTGAAATTGAACACTTGCCTAGAATGTGCAAGGCCCCAAACTCAATTCCAAGTTGTAAATAAAAAAACAAACAAAATTAAAACATTCGGGGGCTGGAGAGATGGCTCAGAGGTTAAGAGCACCGACTGCTCTTCCAGAGGTCCTGAGTTCAATTCCCAGCAACCACATGGTGGCTCACAACCATCTGTAATGAGATCTGGTGCCCTTCTCTGTATACATAATAAATAAATAAATCTTTTAAAAAAAAAAAAAAAAAAAATTAAAACATTCGTACTTCAAGTGAATGAAAGAGCAGCCTACAAAGTAATTTAAAAAATTGAAAAATCCTATGTCCTAGAAGAGAGACTTGTATCTTGAATGAAGACCTCTAAGAACGACAGTGAAAGTAACCTACATTAATAATTTATAGGTTTGGGTAGTCCTTGGTGTTCTGGCGCGTTCTTAGGACGTAATGCTTGCTCAGATGTGGGGCAGGGCAGGTTAGGCCAGCCGCTCATGTCAGCCTGATTTCGCAAAGCTCTTCCCTGCATCCCTGTGAACGGAAGGGAAGGAGAGTGTGTGTGTGTGTGTGTGTGTGTGTGTGTGTGTGTGTCCCTCCCTGTCTGTGCTTGAGGGTCTTGCAGCTAAGCTCCAGCCCTCCACGCCCCACAGATAGTGTCTCCTCTAGGGACAACTTTGAGCACTGTAGTCTTATCACACCCTAGCCCATGACGTTCCAGGTCTCTAGACTTGTCTCCCAGCTCACCTGGGACCTTTCTCTCTGATGCTGTGCCCCCAGGGACCTTCTAAAGAACTGAGGAAGCCTACATCTCCTTTCTGAGCTTGCAGATCAGTCCCCTGAGTGAGCAGGTACACAGTGTAGCAGTACCGCAGTGGGGAGACCCGAGAAGTAGGGGCAGGATCTATCTCCCTCCCTGATTGCATGAGCCGCAGTGTTCAGTTAGTGTGTTGGTGATTGGCGCACTGGCCAGGAGGAGTCTCGTCCTGGAGGAGAACACAAATAGTTCCAAGGTATCTGCCAAGGAGGGGTGTAACTCCATCCGTATACTTCAGAGCAAGGGAAACAGAAACATACGCTGTGATGAAAGCACTTTCTATTGTGAGGGGAAGGACCAAATGACCACTGAGGCGCCCAGCCTTAGCCTTGAGTTAAGAGAAACATATTCTAGTGGCCACCCTCTGCCACTGTGCCTAGAAGTAGTCATGCCTGGAGTTGGGGCCTGCACATCCCACCCACCTACATGCCTGGGGTTTAAGCATCTGACGACCCTGAGTCGGCAGCCAGTGGCTGTCCCTTCCTTACACACACCATCTCATCAGTTTGCGGAGCTCATGGCCTCCACTGCATGCCATTGGAATGATGCATCCCTGAGTGCTGGCTGCTTTGAACCTGGTCCTACCTGAGCGCAAATCTCCCCTTTGGAAAACTAAACCTGTCTCCGCCGCCACCTTTGCGAGCCAAGTTGACAAACGGAGTTTGTTTGCCTTTCTGACATTCCCTCCTTCAGCCTGTTGTACTGAAGTTTGATACGCTTGCTCAGTGCCCTTAGTGCTCTCCCTCTCTCATTCTGTTTTTCCATTCTTCTCATTGGAGGCAATGAGCCGTCCAGCGGCCGGAGCTCCCCTCTCCCTTACCGGCCCGACAACCGCCCTCTAACTCCAACTTACGCTCAGGCCCCTAAACATTTCCATGTTCCAGGTAGGAGCTGACACTGTGTGTCTGGTGTCATGTCACGGTGTAGAATGTAGCCTTGTAACCTCGTCTGTCTCCATTCCTCATGTTCCTTCATCAAGACATACACAGTCAACCAAAAACTAAATTGCAGGATCTGGCCTTCTGAATGATCTGAACTGAAGGTGGTGGGATCAAGTTGAAGGCCTACGTTTTCAATTAAAAACATTTTTGTGTTCATGGCTGGGGATTAAAGCTAGGGCCTTGTACATGCTGTATGAGTGCTAGCCCGCTGAGCCACATCCCCAGCCCTCAAATGTCCTTGCAGAGACTGTGAAGGGAGTGGGGGGCAGAGAGGGTAAAGACCAACAGGAAGGGCTGGGTTTTTCCTTCTGTCAGACTGTGGTTCAGGGGCATTCACAAATAATCCTGAGAGCCGTCTACCTATCTCATCCTAAAGACTGAACCACACTGTCACCCGAGAATCCCTTCAGAGTCGTAACATTGGATCAGCTGGGTGGTGTTTCTGTAGTAGGCAGTGAGCAGGTCACCTGAACAGTCTACCAACATATCTTGCAATTTAGGCTTGGTACTGCAGGCTTTGCCCTAGTAGTCACAGTGCTAACCACCACAGCTCCAATAGTAATGTGCCATCAAACGCTGGAAAACCAGCGGGGCACAGTGGCGCACGCCTTGAATCCCAGCACTTGGGAGGCAGAGGCACATGGATCTCTGTGGGTTCAAGGCCAGCCTGGTCTACAAAGTGATTTTCAGGACAGCCAGGGCTACACAGAGAAACCCTGTCTAGAAAACCAAAACAAATCAAAAAAATCAGAAAACCCAGAGCCTGTCACTATCCTGACATTCAGGGTCAGCTCAGTCCGTAAGAGTGACCGACCATCTGAGGCCACCACAAGTTTCATAAACTGCCACTAGGTTCCTATTACTAAGTCTACCTGGAATCTCTGTTTATCGTTTTCTTTGAATTCTGAATGTTCCCAGCAAATCAGGAAGGCGCAGTGAGATTGGAAACTCTCAGTTAGGACTGTCTTTAATTTTTTTTCATTAATCTTGAAAACTGTTATGTACATTTGAAGTTTTTTATATGAAGGATTCCCCTCCAAGGTACAGTACCTAAGACAATGGAGGAACAGAGGGAGAACTTTGGAAATATCTGAACACTTTTAGTCAAAGTGAAATGGTGGCTTAATCAGACAGAGTCTCCGCAGACATGGATAGCATTTTGTACTGCTTTTTTTTTTTTTCCTTGCTTGCTTCTTAACACAAATTTGGCTTCTCTGGATTAGGACTTTGTTTATCATCCCAAGTGTTGCTGTGTGTATTCTTAGCTTCTCCACATCGCTGTCCATTGCTCCTCTCATTAACTGAAATTGTAAATTGAGCCACCGGACTCCGGGTAGCTCAATTTCTAGACAGTAGCAATTTGGGGATTATTTTTCCCCAAACTGGTTACGTCTTCCTCCTCCACTGCGTACATCGCTTCCTGTCTCAATCCCACTTTCAGTGAAGTCTGTATGTGAAATAAATGGCTCATGAATAAGAGGCGCCTCTCTGTGCGCTAGGATGTATTACAAAGGCTCCCACGTCACTTGTGTGTAGATTCGCTCATTTCTGTGGTCTGTTCCTCCAGTGGACCCAGTCTTTGTAATGTGGCCCTCTGGGTCGTTTTTTTGTGCGTGAGTCTTCAGTTTCCACCCTTTGGTTGGCCTAGTCGTTTTGTTTTCTTTTTTTCCATTTCTGAGCTGGTTCCCATAATCACACATCTTTGCTCTTCATTTCCACAGATCAAGGGATCAACATTTACCGAAAACCTCCCATCTACAAACAGCATGGTAATGCTCCCTTCCTCAGTTCTGAAATGGCGGGTCAGCTGGGCTCTGTTCTCTTCCAAAAGGCTTACTTGATGCAGTTTAGGATGACTCAAACTGGGGCACGCTGCGTGTTATATATGCCCTTGTACTCTGACAGGATACAAATACTGACTTGAAATCATGTGCCTGGTAGAGAGCACTTAGCGCAATTAGGAAGCTTCTAGCTCGTTTCTGATCCCAAAAGTGGTGTTATCATCCGTCTGTAGAGAGGGGAGTTGTGGTCGCACAACAGCAAATGGCCTAATGGTCTTTCTTTAGCCATTGAATAATTTAACTGACTTTTAAATAAATTTGATGAACTTGCAACTAGTTCAAATAATTAAAGCTAGTAAAAATAAAACACCTCCTAAAGGCACGAACCCCATAGTAGGCAGGGGAACAAGCTGAGGTGAGTAGAGGGTCCATTCTGTACTGCAGATATGGCTGTGTGGTTCATGGGCATAAACCCTCTGTTTTTGTGTTCTCATCTGTAAAGACCAATAATTTAGATAATGTGTCTCTTACATTCCTAGAAGTGAGGAATCACCAAGGTGGATTTATTATTGTGTTTTCATTTTCTGGGGATATAAGTCTTCTAAACCCAAGAAATCACAGTATTTTCTGCGAGTTTTATTTTTTTATTTTTTATTTTTGGCCACTATCAAGAAAGTCTGAATTTATCTGCCATAAATCTGTGGCTTAGGTAGATGGCCCAAAGTGGCTTTTCAGTGAGTTCTGAAAATTACACATTAATTGTGTTTGGAGATTTGAAGGCTGTCCATAGAATCTAGTCAGGAATAAGTAAGAATTCAGATTTCAGCTGAAAATATAGAAGGAAAAACTTTCAGACCAACATTCTAGCGAGAGGAAAAGTGTGTATTGTTTGGTTTTCCTTTTCTTTTTTGTTTCAAGGTTTTGCATCCCGTGCTTGCATTTTAAGTTTATTAACATTGTTTTTGTTTTTGTTTCTTTATGGTTTACTGTCTTCCCACACACTCATTAACATGTGAATGTTAACTACTGACTTCACCATGCTAATGCGTAAGTAAGTACTGTTTGAAGTCATGCTTTTTTCTTTTCCTTTAACAATAGATCACCCAGAGATAGATTTAGCCGCTTAGAGATGTCTGTAAATTAAAGTCTCTAGTCCCTAGCGCCCTAAACAACCTTCAGACAGGAGCCCGGGAGGTTGGATAGTGCTGGACTTCTGTGGAAGGCATGGCGGTTCTTCCCATGATAATCATTTGGCAGAAGTCCTTGTTTTCAGCCTGCTGTGTGTAATAAATCAATAGCAGAACTGGAGCAACACTTTTCTAGCATGTTTGCAGAACTCTGCTCATGCCAAAGAAATAGATATCATGCCCCAAATTTATACCTGTGCCCTGGAACATTTGCCAGGAAAATTAAGTCACTTTTCTTCTTCTTTACATAGAAGTCCAGTCTTGTGCTAACACTCTGACCCCTCCAGGGCAGACACAGTATTTCCTAAGCCAAGATTCTTTTTTTTTTTCCATTAAGTTAATGATTCTGAGACACATTGCTTCTTGCTCAGCCAAGACTCTATCCCTTATTATTGGGTAACCGTGGTCAAGTCACAGGAGCAAGTCAAAGGCCAGAAGGTTCCTGGAAGAATTGGAATATTCAAAAAGTTGTTTCCAGATTTAAAAATGTGAGCCCTAAAGAAAAGTAATTTAACTTCAGCCTTAATAAACATGGTTTAAAATGCCAGGCCAGTTTGCCAAGTCAGATGGAATTAGGGACTGACTACTCAACCCGGTTGGTTTTGCTGATTCTGTGATTGGATCTGGGGCTCAAAGCCAGGGAGTCCTCCACTAAGCACGGCCATTACAAACCCTGGGAACTAATGTTGCTTGCCTAGGCTGCTCTTGTTTTCAACGGCCGACTCACTTGTTTGAACAGAGCCCTGAACAACAGTGAGTCTGGGGGTAACCATAAATCACACTGAGGTCCCGCAAAGCCAGAATTGGGTTTCTCCATTTCAATCTCCTAAGATTGAAAGACCCACAGAGAGTGTGTAAAGGCTTAATGAACTAGATTAGTGTATCTGTGGCTTCTACCCCCCAAATACACAGCCAGCCCCTCCCTAAATATTAAAAACTACAGCCAAATGCGGCTTTTCCTGCTTTCTACTTAGCTCTTTAATTTCAAATTTGAACTCAAATTTCTAATTGTCAAAATTTCTAATACCAAGAATATTTAAAAATTAGAGAGTAGACAGTTCTTTGGTGGCTGGAATGTTCAGAGTTCTAGCTTTGAAACATTCTATGAAGAATGGAAAATCCTGTCTGTGGGGTGGTATCACCACCACCTTACAGACCCATAGCTAAGCATCCCTGGTTCCCACCTAGATGCAGCTGCCTTGGCAGCCCAGAGCAAGGCTTCAGAAGACATCATCAAGTTTTCCAAGTTCCCAGCGGCCCAGGCGCCAGACCCCAGCGAGATACCCAAGACTGAGACTGACCACTGGCCTGGTCCCCACTCTCTTGCCGCCGTGGGTATGCATTCAATGCAGCTAAGTCAAACAGACGATTCCTAGGAGAGCGCAAAATGAATTGCTTAAAAACATGCAAAGAAATGTCACAAAGATGTTAAAGAAAAGCATATAGACCAAGGGGTAGAATAGTGAAAAGAATGAATGTGACGTCAGTGTGCATGCAAAGTGCTTAAAAGTTATAAAACGCCTCCCACGGCCTGGCTGTACACAGAACACCCAAAGATCCAGAACTGGTCTAAAACTCACGGCTTGGATGGACTGACCCAGCTGTCTGTTGAACACAGTTGGCCCAAAGCCTGCCGTCAAGAGCATTATTCTGGGGAGCAGAGCAGGTGAAGTTGTGGGGCACCCACTGTAACGTGACTCTCCCCAGTTAAGTCTGTTTTAGACCTGTCTGGATTGTCTTCCTCGCTGCTAACAGGCAGCCTTAACACTGACACCCTCTCCCTGCTCTGCCAAGGCATCTGCTCCACTGCCAAGAAGGGCTGTAGTAGGCATCCCGGAGGGCAACTTGTGTGTGAGTTTACGTCTGTCATCCCATGATCCAGCGCTCCAATGGCACATCGGAACCATGTCATTTTCGCTTTCTGCTTTCCAGTGTGTCTGCGTCTTTACCATTCTGTCCTTAGTGAAATCACTCAAGCCTGTAGAAATGGATTACCAAGGCCAGTAGCTAAAACTGGAAAGTAGATCAGTCTTGCAGAGGTACAGCTATTCCCACTTCTGTTGACAACCTGAAAGACCTTCAATGTTCCACAAGTTCTTAATCTTCCTAATCTGGCTGGGTTTTGTTTTGTTTAATGACTTTTATAGGCAACAGAAGTTCATTTTAAAGTAATTAATAGTTAGAGAAATAGTGGAAGAGAAATCCATTCTCATTATACACACAATATTCTATAATTAGGTTGATGAGATGTATCTACTTCTTACAAACTTTGGTCTACTGATTTTTATTAGTATAAAATAAAGAAAAAATCCACATTGACGTTTTTAAGATAACAGGGAAGTATCTGTCAATCTCTGCCCTTCAGGAAGCTTCAGGGCTCCTAGGTTTCTACCTCAGCTACATTGCTTAGTAGGGACCTAAGTTCAGAGAGAGGGAAAGTCCTCATCACTGAATAGTCTGGCGTTGCCTAGAATCCTAAAGTGAGGAAAACGCCTGCTCCGTTCATCAAAATAATGAAAAGCACAGCTATTAACAAACGTTTATTTTTATTAGATTAGAAAAAGTTCCTGTTCTTCAAAGCGATTTAGGGAAAACAGCACTTTCTTAAGCCCTCCAGCCGCTCAGACAGATGGTTGCCGGACAGACGCCTCTCGGAGGCCCGGAAGGGATGTGTCAGCTGCACTATAGTTCCAAAGTCGCTGAGCTGTAGGAACCCTGGCTTTGTTTACCTGCCTATTAGTGGCAAATTCTTTTATGACTGATTTTTACTGTGTGTGAAAAGGAAAATTACAGACCTCGTCTTTAAAAGAAGCACAGCAAGTGTCCTTTTTAATGGATTTACTAAGGGTAGAAGAAAAAGTGGCAGTTTACATTTAAAGAGTCTAAAACCAGGAAAAGAGGGAACTGCAAGTTTTAAAAACTTGCCACAAGATGGTGACTGTCCCTGTAATGTGTAGATATATAGATGTGTTTGGAATCCTTGCTAGTTAAAACTGACCCTTGGGTCATCAAATAATAGCTGGAGGTACTCACCTCTCCACTTAGTATAATGTTGATGCCTTGGGACTCGGTTGCCATGGCAAGCCCAGGTCTAGTTAACAGCCAGGTGTTGAAAGGCCAAATCCCCACCTTAGCTGTGTTACACACTGAACTAGCACATCAGACGAGCCTTGAGAAGCCAGCCCATGGTTCCGAGTTGCTGGTGGGTATTTTCTCCGCCCGTCCCCATGTGAAAGCCTGCTGCCCACCTTACCAGCCTGATAGACAGCCAGATGGACTAGACTGCTAAGATTCCTTTATCACGGGGCTGATGTGAGAAGTTGTCTTTACTGTGGAATTAGGAACTGACATGAGACGCAGATCTAGTGGCAGAGAGGAAGATGAGGAGGAGCTCCTGAGACGCCGGCAGCTTCAAGAAGAGCAATTGATGAAGGTTTGTCCTCACTGCCGCCCTCAATTCTGTTCCCAGTTGGCTCCTAGTGTTTGCTTGTTTTAAATAACCAGCATCTGGTGATCCGACGTGGTAACAGTGAGGCTGGAGGGTTAGAAGGTCACAGAATGCAGAGAGCACTTGACTGTGGGGTAGGTGTGCAGGTGGACCAGTTGAAAGGATGTGGGGGGTTCCTGCAGGCCAAGATGGTGTATACCCAGGGGCATGCAGGTGTTGCTAGAGGGATTTCCTTGGGATGACATATTGATCCAAATCTTTCCTCAGGACAGAATTTATATCTGGAATGATAAAAAGATACCAACTGGTCTGTCACCAAGAGCCCTCCTCTCCCCCACTCCTTGCTAGGACCTTTGGCACCTCAGAGGGCTAGTGAATTCTAAACTCAGACCACTAAGGGGCTAATGCATCCCTTAAAATGGTTCTCTAAAAATGTGAGACATGCACGTGGTGTTGCATACGTGGGAGAAAGGAGGGAGAGCAGCACTGTCTGTGCAAAGTGTGCACACAGCAGCAGAGATGGGCATAAGTCAGAAGACGAGGGCGGGACGCCTTGTGGGCGCTCGCAGTTTGTTTCCTTCTGGTTTTTCTAAAATATGTGTAAGCATATATTCCTTTTTTAAATTTTTTTTAAGGTAAACAATGCAAATTCTTAATCTCTCCCTCCTGTATCAAAAATCATCAAATGTGTACACATGCTGAGGCCTTTGGGGGAGGGCAAAAGATGGAAGGCGGCCTTTTAAGATGGAGCCTGGCTGGGGAAGAGAAGCTTCACTACTGGGAAAACCAGAGCCCGTCCTACCCCTGAAGGAAGCACAGGCTCCAAGCAGGGAAAGCAGTAGTTCATGACAGCAAGTGCATCGCGTCTCTTCTTTTCCCTTCCTCTTTTCTTCCTGTGACTAGCTCAACTCAGGCCTGGGGCAGTTGATACTGAAGGAGGAGATGGAGAAGGAGAACAGAGAAAGAGCATCCCTGCTGGCCAGTCGCTATGACTCTCCCCTGCACTCAGGTGAGCAGCAGACCCCTGCCTTCTGTGATGTAAGGGTGGGCTGAGCCACCTGCCTGTTACCCAGGAGACAGGACCAGCTGTGTGACCTTCTAACCCCTTGAATCCCTTCCGAGTGTGAGATCCTGTCTGTGTGAGTACGTAATGCTACAACTACCTAGGTCAATACATTTCAAAAAGATTGTCCCGTCCAGAGATGCAGAGGTCTTGAGCTTTAGATGGTTTGGCTCCCTCCATAGCCTAGCTGCCTCTCGGACTCCTGTGCCTTCACAGATGTGATTCTGCAGCCCAGGCCTCGCAGGATCCCAGCTGTGACCAGCTGTACCATCTTGGTTTCTTACACCATAAGTTTCTGGCTCAGTTGCTACTGCCATCTCATACCACACCTGGTGTAGGCACCCACATGTGCCTAGGCTCGAGTCCTTGCTCGAATCCCAGGGGTACCACTAGCTTTAGCTCCAGCTGGGTTGTGTGTCCTTCCTCTTCCTGCCTCTCCTAAAGATGATCACACGTCTACTCCTGCACGCTCCCCAAGAAGGCAGTGTGTTGCGAACACTGGAACCCAATATCAGTTGAATTCTTTTCCCTAAGTCTTTTAATTGCACAAGATCACTGGCAGTCGCACTGAAGCACTAGAAAGTTCTCTCCCTTTATTCCTCATCTAGCTGCACATGCTCCATCATCAAAAACTTCGTCTCTCCCTGGTTACGGCAAGAACGGCCTTCACCGGGTAAGACTTCCTTCAACTAATGGTGTCTGTATGTCTCCCTCCCTCAGTCTGTACTGACGCATCATTGGAAAATCTGACTCCCTTTTTATGCATTTTAACTCTTTGTTACATATTTATTATTGTGTACGCATGTCAGTATGTGCATGTATATGTGTGTGCCGCATACACTATGATGCGTGTACAGAGGGCATCTTGTGGGAATCAGTCTTCTCCTTCCACTATGTGAGTTCCCCACATGGAACTCAGGTCATCCGGCGTAGGCAGGTACCTTTATGCTTTAACCATCCTGCCAGCCCTGGGGAATCTCTTGCTCTTGCTGCTGGGATACAAGACACACTGTCACCCGCTCAGCCTCTTGGTAAATCACTTGGAGTTGTAAGCAAAATAAAATACTTTTTTTTCAAGAAGACAAAATTGACTTCGAATGGCTTGTGTAAGGACAAGAAACTAAATTAAGCAATAGCAGGCAACTTTTTTTTTTTACAATAAGGCAAAAAGTAATCACTTGATGCATAATCTCTATAGAGAGAGTTGGTGACAACCACCTTCCCTCACCAAGCCTACAATAATTACAATTATGTAATTATCAGATATAATTTCTAGAAATACATTGTAGGGATGGAGCAGCATCTCTCTATGTAGTCCTGGCTGTCCTGGAACTCACTATGCAGATCAGGCTGGTTTTGAACTCACAAAGATCCACCTGCCTCTGCCTCCTGAGTGCTGGGGTTAAAAGCACCTTTAGAAATACATTTGTATCTATGGACAAGAAATACTTGCTCTATAAAAGCCTGCTGGACACCTCAGATGCCTGCAAAATGCTGCAGTTTCATAATTTGAAGAATAAATAAGATAAATAATGACCATCCAGGATTTTAGCCTGGGAAGGATTCTTAGGATCTTCTAAGTCTGCTCTCCCACCTCCAAATCTAAAACGACCACTGGAGATTTTCCAATGATAATGTTTCCCTCATTACAGCCGGTTTCCACAGACTTTGCTCAGTACAACAGCTACGGAGATGTCAGTGGCGGAGTTCGAGGTAAGGCTCTGAAGGGAGGCCAACCACGACAATGTCATTTCTTGTGACCCTTGTTCAGGTGAGGTTATGTAGTCACTAGCACACTGCCTATGTTCGTGCTCTGTATATCCCACAGTAGGGCCATAGCTCTCTTCTCTGAGTTAGTAACAAACACAAAAACATCAAGAGAGTCTCTAGATCAGTGGTTCTCAACTTGTGGGTCGCAATCCCTTTGGGGTCAAATGATGCTTTCACAGGAGTCACCTACTACCATTGGAAAATACAGATATGTACATTATGATTCATAACAGTAGCAAAATTACAGTTACAAAGTAGCAATGAAAATAATTTTATGGTTGGGAGGTCACCATAACATGAGAAACTGTATTAAAGGGTCCCAGCATTAGGAGGGTTGAGAACCACTGCTCTAGATAAATACAAGCATGGAAAGCCGGTATCTAAGCATTCATCCATTGCCCTTCTACACGCTGAGCACTCAGTGAAGAGCGGCCACTGCCCTCAAAGAGCATGTGGTGACAGCAGAGAGGATGGCGTTTGAACTGTTGCCTGAAGTTGAAGCAGGCATCTCCTGGCTGCAGGGAAACCAGTGGTTCAGGAGTGAGGAAAAGCACAGTTCGTTTGGGGTGTTTTAGAAGTTATGGTAGAATACAGTGTTACTGTTGGTGATTCCGTGGTTTTCTCATGGTCTTTCCCTAATGGGTTTTTGGTTTTTTTTCCTTTTTAGACTACCAGGTATGGATGGCTTTGTCTTCCTTGAGTTGGCCACACCAGACAGAACATTCCTTCTCCAGTGCATGCTGCTGCTTCAGGGGAGCAGTTTCTGTTGGGAGGATGAATATGGTGGTTGATTGGCTAACGGTTACTCCACAGCTGGAAGGAGCAGGCATTGTCTGGTAGCCAGGTCAAGCTGTCTCTGCAGACCTTTCTGGTAGGGTGTGAGCTGGGCCAGGTGTGAGAGAACTCTTCCCTGGCTGGAGTGAGTTCTGTCCAGGGCAGAAGTGAGTGGCCTCATTGGCACGGGTGTGGGTAGAAGTGAGTGGCCTCATCGGCGTGGGTGTGGATTTTTAGTAACAGTCTCTCGGGGCTTAGGTGCTGCCTTCTCTCAGCTGTCCTCAAATGAAGTGAAACATGACTCTTAGCCACTGAGAAAGAACAGTTTGCTCTCAAACTCTTCCTTTTCATCTTGTAAGACTGGGAGGGACAGTGAGAAGGAAGAATAAATCCAAACTAAGATAAAGATTGAAAAAGATAAGAGGGTGTGATGGCATATCCTGTAACCTCGGTACATCTGAGGCTGAAGGCTCTAGAATTCAGGACCAGCTTGAGGACAGAGAGAGATGGACCCAGAAGGAAAATAATGGTAATAGACCTGACAGGTTTTGTTTTGTTTTTTTGTAAGCATCCCTCCACCCAGGCAGCCTAAATCAGAAAATAGTCCATAGTTATTAGTCCATGATCTTTCTCCAACTTGATTACATAGTGTCACTCTTATTCTGTAAGGCTCTTAGTTTGAGAAGTCCATGGTAGGGAACATGACTTGATGGGAGGATCTGAGACCCAGCAGGAAAGTCAGGGGCCTCTCACAGCCCTCCCTGGGCTTCTGTTGAGATCTGATGCTCACCACTGAGCAAGCATTTCTGTTGCAGACCCTTCCAGATGGCCACATGCCAGCCATGAGAATGGACCGAGGCGTGTCCATGCCCAACATGTTGGAACCAAAGGCAAGTGTGACCGACTGCTCCTTTCCTCCTGAACACAACAGCCTGTGAACGATAGAAAGCTGTGCTTTCCTGTGTTTGCTGCGCTCAGAGCCTGAGGGCCACCTGGTTCCAGGCTGGCACACCCAGACAAGCTTGTCTTAAAGTGTCGTGTTATTCCCCTGTTTGAGCCACACTCAGTGAGCAGATTTAAACCTTAACTGCCCACAGTGCTCGTCTCACAATGAGGTACCAGCACCCCCTTCCCTGTGGCCTAGGTGTGATCTTGACCCCTGCCACATGCATTTCAAGGCATGTCCAATGCTGAGTGGAATGGCAGAGGCCTGCTCCAGGTTTTGTGACCAATATGTCCTAGTTTACCAGAAGTTTCTTTGTGTTAGTAACAAGCATCTTGCATACCACATCTGATTAGCATTAGGCAAACTGACATGGCTGGTCATCCTAGCTCCAGAATGTTCTGTACCTCAAGTTATCTGGTTGCCAGGCATGATGGAGCACACCTTTAATCTCAGAGATCTGGAGGTGGGGGCAGGCCGAATGATCTAAATTTGAGACCATCTTGGTCTACATAGTGGAGTTCTAGGCAAACTAGGGCTTCATAGTGAGACCTTGTCTTAAACAAAACAAAACAAAAAAGGTCCAGAGACTTGATCTCCTTGATACCTGTAGTTGGGGCTTACTTCAACATGTCAACTTCCAGAACACTGTTCTGGGCCCTGCTTGGCTGTGTGAATTCACAAGTCTGTCATAGCTAAGAGTGTTGAGCCCTGCACAAAGTTATCCTGTAATCTAACAGCTTCATGGAAGAGACAGTATGTGTGCCTACCACTTCATATCTCCACTCAATTTGACCTTCCTGACTCACTCATAGTAAGTTAGTATTCTTAAGTTCAGAAAAATCGTTCCCAAGGCACAAAGGCACAGTGCAGCATGAGTCACTGGTAGAGAGATGGAGATGTGTAAGAATCTGTCCCTGTGCCCTGAACACCAGAGGTTCTTCGTACCTACTCTTGCTATCAGTCATGGGTGTGCTGGACTTTAGGTGGTGCTTATGAATTGAATGGATGACAAGGTGTCTGTCTTTCTCAGATATTTCCCTATGAAATGCTCATGGTGACCAACAGAGGGCGCAACAAAATCCTAAGAGATGTGGATAGAACCCGGCTGGAGGTAAGCAAAACAAAAACCTAACCTCCATGAAAGATCCCCATACATCGCCCACAGCACACACACTCACCCCAGGATAGCTAAACAAATATAAATGTATTTTTCCAGGTGGAACCTAAAGTAGTGGGAACAAACAAAACAAAACAAAACAAAAAACAGTCTCACCTTGTAGGCGGAATGAAGAGCTAACTAAGGCCTTGAGGATCTCCAAGGGAATAAATCCACGGGATGGGAGTTTACAGCATCCAGTCACTGCTCCTATTAGTGCTCAGCATGTCCTTAGATGTTGAAAGGTGGGAAAGACAGGGCCATTCTCAAAGTGTGTACTGTAAAGAGAGAAAATAGAAGGATGCCTCCACACCCCATCAGCATCAAGGCAGACATTCCCTGGCTTCAGAGAGGCCAGGGGTCAAGTGCATGCCCTCACATCTAAGGACACTTATGTCTAAGTCTACAGGAAGGTCAGAATGTAAAAATGCCTGGTAAGATTTATAATGACCCTAGAGACGCAGTGCGGCCCAGTCATGTTTTTTAGAAATCAGATGCTGGTGTAATTAGGACTGGAGTTGCCGCATGGTCATCTCCATCACTCCTAAGATATTCCAGGTCCATATCTGCCTCATCTTTGTACCTTTCCATTTTCTTTTTGTTGTTTTGTTTTTTTTGTTTTTCAAGACAGGCTTTCTCTGTGTAGTGCTGGCTATCTTGGAACTAGTCCTGTAGACCAGGCTGGTCTTGAACTCATAGAGATTCGTCTGGCTCTGCCTCCTGAGTACTGGGATTAAAGGCATGTGCCACCACTGCCACTCAGCTCTGTCTGAATGATTTTTAATTAAGAAACTGTTATGTCTCCCCATCTCAGGAAGAGTAAAGTCCATTCCAAAACACAAAGGAATGCTTTTGTGGATGAGGTCAGGCTAGCTCAGACAATTCTAGCCCATGTTAAAATGGGACGTCACAGGCGGTATGACCAATGGGAGATAAGCATCCTTCTCTCCTGTTACTGGCCTGGAGGAAGCTCTAGGGCTCTCTCGGGGACCATCCTGAAAGTCCCTTTCTCTTTGGCTGTTACTGTCATCCGTTATTCTCTGTCTCTTCTCAACATGCCCAGGACCTGAAGTGATGGCGTCTGCTTCCAGCGTCACGAGTCACCTTCCTATGCCCAATAATCACTAGCCCAGCACCAAAGTGTAGCAGTATTGACAGTAGTCTGCCAGCTGTTTCCTCTGGTGGAGAGACACTGTGACTGGCCATGCCTAGAAACCAAGCCCCAGACAGAGGTAGCCACCTCTCTCCCGGGCCTGACTGGCTCTTCAGAGTGATGTCAGTGGTTCTCAGGTTCTGCAGGGAATTGATTCCAGGACCCCCTCCCCCAACAGATGACAAAGTCTTACAGATACGTGTTTATATGTTGACTCCACGCGTCCCCCTGCATGTTTCAGATCGTCTCTAGATGATGTATCCTGCCGAGTACAACCTAAATGGTTAGTCTCTAATTGCAGTACTGTGTAGTTAGGGCAGAGTGACCAGGGACACCGTCTTTCCGCACACCCTGAGATCAGATCCAGTTTGCGAAGGGACACTTTGGATCTAAAGTGGGTTGAACTGGGGATGCAGAAGCCACGACTACAGGAGGCTGGCTGTGTTCATAAACTTCAGAACACATCTCAAGGACTAACCCCGGTTCCCTTCTCTTCCCAGCGTCACTTAGCCCCAGAAGTATTTTGGGAAATCTTTGGGATGTCCATACAGGAATTTGACAAGTTACCTCTTTGGAGACGCAACGACATGAAGAAAAAAGCTAAACTCTTCTAAGTCCCCCGAATAAATGACAATCAGGAAATGACTCTCGGTGGCGGTGGTGCCTAGAACCTTGTATTAAGGCCCGGAATCATCGATCAGAGAATTTGTTCGCTACCATCTCCCAGCAGCAACACTGAGGGAAAGTCTGACCTCAGCACCCATGAGCCACATCCTGGGCCAAGCAACAGTCACACTTGCCGAGCAGTGACGGGGTAGAAATTTCTATGTTCCCAAACTCAGCAGTAATGTCCACACCAACCTTGTCACGTGACTATGTCCACAACAAGGGACTTCTTTCTCCTTTTATTTCCCCCTTTAACCGATGTCTAACTTAGTGCTGCGTCTACCTGTAAGGGTCTGTAAGTGTCCTTAGGAAGCCACACAGGAAGAAATGACTGGGAGTCCCAAAGTATGAATCTATTTATTATGTAGCACTGTGGCTGAGGAGGAATCCGGAGGCCAGCGTTGATGTGGTAGCAACAACTTGGCCTTTCCTTGGCAGCCTCCCTCTGCTCTGCCTGGGCTCTGGGGGAACTAGAACTTCCTCAGGGAACCGGGTAGTTCTGAGTGTGCAGTTGAGGACCAGCAAAAATGATTTGAATGAGTTCCTCTTCCCTTCCTGTGTTCTGGGACCTGGTTGGCCAACTGCTGGCGGGGGTGAGGGTGGGGGGGGGGGGGATTTAAGAGAAAAGGAAAAGGAAAAAGAAATGAAGGAAGCCTGCCCTCCCTGGGCGTCTTTTCTCCCTGTACATTGACAGGAACCGGTGTGTCCACCTCTGCAAACAAAGGAAAGGCAAAGTGAGTTTCCAGACTGGTCCAGCTGCTGCTGGGTGACCTGTGCACATGAGTCATGTCTCTCTTAGAGAAGGAAAATCTGTGCCCTACTACCGTCACAAGTTCTCCCCCTCAGCGTCCCCTGCTGTCTGTCTGTCTGTCTGTCATCTGATGGGTCAGGTCAAGCCCTGGTTGATACAGTGTTTTAAGGGCATAGCCTAATTTTTCTCCTTCAGATCTCTGCAACCCCGAAGTAGATTGCTTCAGACAGGTTTCATGTGGCCTGGTTTCAGTTTCCTTCTTGCTGGCACAGTTGACATGTCGACGTGTGCTCACACCTGTGTGTAATTCACCCAGGGAAGTCCTGTCAGTCTACATGTGCATCTTTGTAACCTCTACTTGAGTGTTTCCCACACTGTCCTGTGCAGAGACTCATGCTGCAGACCACGGAAGTGAGGCCGGGGCAGTTTAGGGCTCAGAGCGCCTGTCTTCCTGGACTCCTTTCACACTCTACAGCTCTCCGTGCGTGCAAACTGGAACCCAGTTCTTTCATTAAAATGCGTGAACAAGGCCGCATCATAAGGACTGGTGTGAGCTGGATTGTGATGAATCTCTCCAGATTCACAGGAAAGAGGTCAGGTCACGTTGATTCTTCTGCTGTGGGGCTCTTCTTGGGAATTTAAGCTCTGAGTTAAAGCCAAGGGAGAAAGCATTTGAATTCATTCGCAATCACCACTCAGCACAAAATGCAGAAATTCCTTCGAGGATTAGAGTGACTGGCTGTCTGCTGACATCAGCAGTAAAGAACAAGCCACATAGATTCGGAGCCTGTGCTACAGACCTGTGACTTGTGACCTGTTCCTGCGGGTTATGCCGCTACACTCTTGCAAGGCAGTTAAGTATGAGAACTTCCTTCACAAGCCCGCATGTGTAGACACCTGTTAGTGCAGTTAGCAAGAGAGCCATATGGCCAGTACTGTGCACCCTGAGTAGATGGGTCCAGCTCCTCTTGGTTGGGAGGCAGGTTGCAAATGGTGGGTTCCCGGGGCAGGTCTCTCACTTCTTGCCATGTTTTCATTGTTTTGCTCTCGATGCCCTCTCCGAAGTGGCCTGGTGGGAGATGTTGTTTATCCAGTAGGGAAATGACAAATGAACCATTTGCACTGATTAAGATGTTACTATTTATAATCATGCAGGTGAGAAAAACCAAAGCATTCAGGAGACAGAGGCATAAGCAGAGGAAGATGCTAATATTTTGCACCTGCTCTCCATAAAGCTAATGTGGCTGTCTTGACATAGGAAAATTCAGCTGAAAGGGGCGCGCGTGCAGGGCAGGGACAGTCCTCCTCTCTATGTTACAGAGAACTTTGAGTAAGTTAGAGGACCTGCCTAGGATTAACTGAAGAATTGATCTTAAATTCTTGCAATAACAAAATCCTGCTTTCATGACCATTTGAACTCAGTTCCCCATCTAAGTTGGGGGAAAAGTTTTGCATTCCCTATCAGCATACTAGTTCATTTAAATTGTATCATGTAAAACTGTCTTGCTAGAAAACACCCGTAGGAACTCCAACCGCCCTGGGAAAGGAGTATTGGAAAGTATCATACTGGGGTCTCACTCCATCCCCTTGTAGATTCCAACCAGACCTAATGTTTGGGCTATGGTACCCTATCTGTGGTGTTAAAGGAATACATGTGATTTACCTGAGCATGCCCAGACCACAACACTGGAGAGGAGTGGTGTTCACTTTACTCCAACCCTGCTGAACACAGGAAATTTCCAGTTGCTAAAAATCAAAGCAGCTTGTTCACTTGGGGGAGAATTCTATGTATGGCAGACTTGGTGCGTTCGTACATTAAGGGCTATATTTTTTTAGCATTTGACTTACTTGTGACTTGAAGTGTGTACAGATTGCATGGCCTAGAGGAGGCTTCTGTGGCCATGTGGTGGCCTCAGTCAGTGCTTCCTTCAAAACTTCTCTAAGAGAGTCCAGACTCTCGCGTTGTCTTCCTGTGCAACTTATTAGAGGTATGAAAAGCCTCTGAAAACAGCAAGCTCTGCATTTTCATACTGTGTGGAGTTTGTTATGAAATATTTTTAATACGACTCCTTCAACAACTAAACAGGAAACTGCCTGTTCTCTGAAACCCCAAAGAGAAAAGCTGCAGCTAGTGGGTACTACGGTGCAAAAAAAGGGGGGGAAGATAGTTTTCTATCTGTCCTGTCCTCTGTTCCCCCCAAGTCCTGATTCTGTCGCCTCCAGCCTGAGCCTTCCCTCCCGAGGCACGGCCCCACCCATCATTTCCGTCTGTCTTCTGTCGGTCGCCACCAGTGTGGAAAGGCTCAGCTGGTGATGTTTCTAAAACAGACTTCTTTACTTTGAAGCAAGCATCTTTTTCTAAAGGTAGCTTCGCCAATGACGCTGTCAGGTAGATCTGCTTTTGCAAGTTTAAAAGAATTCAAACTATCCTCTTTTGAGTCTTTGTTAAAAAAGAAAAAAAAATCTCAAGCAAACCTAGAGTGGCAGGCACTCCAGGGCATGTTGCAGGAAGCTGGCATGACTCCCGGCTGTGTGCTCCAAGAACCCTGGCTCTGAAAAGATTGCTGATAACTGTTTCATCTGTACTTTCTGTGCCCTCCTCAATTTTGAGTTACATTTTTTCTTCTTTAGACAAACCAAGGCTTTGTGTGCTTCAGATTCACTCTTTTGTGCCCCTTTGAAGAACTCTATCCAGAAACAGAGGGTCAGGGCTTTGGATTTGCAGCAGTGTGTCTCCGGATGGCACTGTGCGGGGAGGAACACCCACCTCTACTGGAACAGGAGAACAAGCAAGCCTGCAGCATTTTCGAGATCGCTATTCCATCTTCTCCCCGTGGAGCAGAGGGACACGGTGACAATTAGATTGCTTTCACTTGTGTGTGTTTAATGTTGTAGCAAATTCACAAAGAAGGGGACAAGTGGCTGTTCGAGCTGAAGCTTTCTAAGCAACGAATGTGTGCACAATAAAGTTCCACAAAGCCAACTTTCCCCCCAGGAGCTTAATGCAACTGAATGGCAGTTATCATTAAATAAAATGCTCTTCTGTGTCTCTTCCGAGTGGCAGTCCCATGAGTCACTTTCCATGGGTGAAAGATAGAAAGAGACAAGCCTATATGCATTGACATTCAGAAAGGTTATGATTATACATGCAAATATTTTACCTGTGGAAGAGGAGACAGTTGCCCACAGAACTGATGTTTTGGGGAGTTCTTTGTATAGATGTGTCTGGTGGTAAATGTGGGGGTTTCCATGAGATGCCAAAGACCCTGCATCGAATCTCTTCTAATTTGGTTAATGGGATTACTTTGACCTGCTGAAAGGCCTACCCACTCTTCCTTCCTTCCCTCCCCTTGTGGTGATATGAAAGCAAATGTTGAGAAGTTTTTGAGAAGCTGTGCTGTGTTCCCTGTGGACTGGAGCTGGTGTGTGCCAGTGCCCGAGCACCTGGTGCTCAGGTGCGGAGGAGAACTTGGCCTGCAGGCTCTGTCCCTGCGCCCCTGATGTAGGCAGCACACACCGCCCTCCTTCACCACTGTACTCAACTCTGTGAATAAAGCTATGTGCTTCCGCCCTCACCGCCTCCGGCACTGCTTTGTTTCCTGCTCCCATTGGTCTTTTGGAAGCTTCGTCCTAATTTTTAAAGTGTCAACCAAACTTCCAGGAACCAGAACAAAGAGTGAAGCCACAGATATAGCAGGTTGTTTTAATGCTTAAAAATGTATTTTAATTGTATATGTATGCACACGTGCAAGCATGTACAGGAGTAGTTGGTGTTAGATCCCCTGGAGCCAGAGTTACAGGCAGGTGTGAGCTGCCTTAAGTGGGTTCTAGGAACCGAACTCTGGTCCTCTGCAAGAGCAGTACATGCTCTTAAACAGAGAGCCACCCCTCCATTCTACTTGATGTTTTTCTGCCCTATTCACTGATGACAGGACATGTATCAAATAACAGATACTTTCCAGTAGTTTGTCCAGTAATTCAGGCCATAATGACAAAGTTGACTAGAGATGAATTATCAACTAGTGTCTTAGTTGGGATTTCTATTACTAGGAAGAGACACCATGACCACAGCAACTCTTACAAAGGAAAACATTTAACTGGGGCTCAATGACAGTTTCAGAGCTTTAGTCCATTGTCACCACAGCTGAAGCATGGCAGCATGCAGGCAGGCATGGTGCTGGAGAAGGACCTGAGAGTTCTACATCTTAATCCACAGGCAACAGGAAGGAACTGTGTCAGTGTGTGTGGCTTGAGCATAGGAGACCTTAAAGCCTACCCCTACAGTGACACACTTCCTCCAACAAGGCCACACCTCCTAATAGTGCCACTTCTTATGGGGGCCATTTTCTTTCAAACACCACAACTGGGGTACTCAGTGGCACTGAGCATGTAAAAAGCCCTGGATTCAAGACCCACCCACAAACACATCTAGTAGCAATCATAAACTGCAGCTCGAACTGATATTTGATCTGTTTGTGACACAGCAGTGAGTCTTATCTTTGGGATGAAACTGAAGACTTGAGGATAAGGCTTTTTGAGCCACTGAGCACGGGCCATTGCAGTCACCTAGAACACAGTGGGGGAAGCATCTTCCAATCCCCCACTTTGTGAAGAAAATCTCTCTTACCTGGGAGCCAGAGATGGGCTGTTCACCAAGGCAGTTGGCATGTTGGTTAGCTACTCTCAGAGAACAGGTCAGGAGGTCCAGGCTCCAGTCCAGCCAGCTTGGCTTCCACCGGCACTCACCTATGCCTAGCTTCACCACCAGGGGTCACCTGTAGTCCTTGTTATGACCTCGTCGCACTGGGCTCTGGTGGCCGCCTTTTAGTTTAAATTGACTCCTTTTGCTTTAATGAACGACCCTCACAGCAAAGTTCCCTTCACACAGATGTAGAGTGGGCAATGGTCAAGGCAAGGCCACTTCCCGCCTTCCGTACTCTGCCTTTGGCTTCCACCCAGGCGCACCGTGTTTATTCCCACTAGAGCAGCTTTGCCGAAGATGTTTCCTCTGTACGATGTCCAGCTCTTCGAGGAGGTGGCCGATGCAGAGAATCCGCTGCCTAGGAAAGGATGCCATGTCCACTGTCAACTCTGTAAAGCCACTTTCCCATCCATTCTGGAAGTTATCTCTGTGAATTTCCTATGGGCTCCATCGATCTTATGCAAGACAAGGCCACATTTACATCCTTGGCATGAGCCTGTCTTGATGGCCAGCCTGACCTACCCCAACAGTTCTTGGCACACTGATGATTGACCATGGTATGCAGTACTTGGCAATGGTGCCTCATTCTGTTAGCTCTGCGTGTGCCTGCTTTGTAGTTTAATTTGTGAGCTCTCTTTGCTGAATGTCAGGTGATCTAGCTTCAGGTTAGCACGACTCTCGAAACAGCCCTAAGAGGCTGATCACTGTAGTTTCGCCATATAGGTTGGATGCCAGAACTCAGAGGCTAAGCAAATATGTCTGGCTACTCAGCTAGTAAGCAGCAGAACTGGGCAGATCAGATCTGTCCCCTTCAAATCCCATGTGCTTTCCTTCAAGGACGGTATCTCACATCATATCTTGGGGCCAGATCCATTTATTATGACCATGAGTCCCATCACTACTACCACAGGGCAGCTGTGAGTGGCATTTCAGAAAATTGCTTTATAATTGGTTATTCAGGCTCTTCCAGCCCAATCTGCTTATCTGCAGAATGGACAAAGAGGTGAGAAACCCCATCCAAAGATCACAAAAACACATGCTGAGCACACAGTGCAGAGCCCAGCATGTTAACTGCTCAGGAAACTCCAGCAATGTTTACAAGGGGTAATTAGTCACTTAGACGCTCTCTGAGTCTCCTTGTCTTCCTAGGGAAGTTTAAAGTGAACTGTATGAAGGGACAGTGAAGGCCACAAAGAGATAAGAGCACTCAGGCTCACAAGAACCTCATGTGAAGAGATGTAATTGAATGATGAGGGTCTCTGGTGGGTGTGGATGTTGCTAAAATCTTTTCCTAGAGGAGATGTAAACGAAGTCTACCCTTCCTTCTAAGGCACCAGTGACACACTGAGGTATGGAGTCCACCAGGTTCACTCTGGGAACCAATGAGTTCCTTAGGCTTATAGAGCAATGGGTAGGGGTATGGGGAGGATCATGGGTGGCCTTGAAACAGCCACACATGAGGACAGTCTGCACACAGTATAGATGCACATAGATGATTCCCCCATGGTCACATAGATGGATCACCCGCCCTAGTCCCTCCCCCCATACACTCTAGTCTCTCCCCAGGCTACCTGCAGTTCAGGCAGTTCAGGCAAAACTCCACACAGCTGGTTGGTAGATGCTCGGGGGAGGGTCCCAAGACCTTCCTGCCCCTCCTTCTGTGAGGGAATACCAGCAGTTCCGGTGCTGCGCACTCAGCTGTGGTGATCTTCTGTGAGCACGCCCGGATGAACGGCTGTCGATGGTGGCAGTTGCTTGGAGGCTCGTCCTGTACACAGTGGGTGAAGTCTAGTCCTTTTATAAATGATCATTTGAGAATTTTCGTTTCTGTTGTAAGCCTTTTCCTCCCTCTCATCTGTATATGAAGATCCAGTCACTGAAGCATGCCCACAACCTCTTAGACACTTCAAGAACAGCAGCCTTCATTGCCCAGTAGTTTAAGACAGATCCCTGGTGATTAACAAGAAGAGAAAGCATCACATAGCTGAACGCAGGGTGTAGCATCCAACATCTAGGGCCTGAGTTCTGGCTCCACTAATTACCGGCTGCGTAGCTAATGAAGATTTGCTTAACTATGCTAAGTCTTAATTTCCATTTCTATAAAAGAGGAATAATATTTAATAATACCTGCTTCAAAGTAGGACAAGACCTGGCATGATACAAAATGAGGCCTCAGACATTGAATTTACAGACAGACAGACTGTGGAGTAAAGTCTGAGGACCCTACTCAGCCCCAACCAGAGCTTATTCTGAGCTCTTAGGCTGATTCTCACACCACTTCTCTTCTAGAGAAGGAAACAGACCCAGGAAGATTGTCCTATCCAGGTATCACTTGGTGGTTGGCATGGGGGCCTAGGCCTGAAGGCCGGCCTCTCTAGTCTGAAGGCCGCCTGTGTGCAGCCATCCCAAGGAATGCCCAGCCAGGGCAGCAGGCTGTGCAAAGGGGAGGCATCTGGAGGTGCTTCCCACTTCAGGGATGCTACGAAACACCACCATGGGCGATGGCGGTGATTTATGAAAGGTCCTCACAACTGTGTGACTCCCTTGAGCAGCTCAAGGCTAAAAAGCCAGTGTTTGGAGATCTCCTCAGCTCAAGAATCCACCAGACCTCTCTTGTACACGTGAACTCGCAGTGGCTAGGTCGACATTCCTAAGACTTACCCAACATGGTGCCAGCTAAAGCCCAGCGTAGATGGGGAGGTGCTCACAAGGTCCCACACCCATTTGCCGAGCTATTGGCAAACAACAGGTCCTAAGAGTCTGACTGTGCTCCAGTAGGTGACTGGAGACCTGTGCACATCCAGGCAATGCTAAGTGACCTCAAGTGGGTTTAAGAAAAATGAAAAAGAGAAAAACACATGAAGATGGGCGGGAAAAGTAGTGGGGGGTAGGGGAGAATCTGAGTGGGGGATGGGCAGTAGATTTGATCAAAACACATTATATGCATGTATGAAATTCTCCAACAGTCTGAAAAAAACCCAAATCCTACCAGCCTACTCAGCCCCTCCTGCCCATTGCTGGACAGGGCTCCTCTCCCACACCCCTCCCAGAGTCAGACAGCCTCGCCCTGGTGTGGCCACCAGCCCTGCTCTGCTGGATATGGTCCATTGTGGGCTAGGAAGCAACAAGGAAGGATGGGGACTCTGGGACTGGCGACTTTTGGGAAAGCCCAGTGTGGCTGAGGAGCAGTGACCAGAGCTGCAGAGCCCCAAGTTGAAAAACACACCCTAATTCCCTCTCTCCCCATCTGAGGCCCAGACTCTAAGAAACGACCCCTATTCTACTGCAGAACTCGGGGTGCAGCAGAGCTAGTCAGGGACAGAGGACGGCATCCTGTGACCACATTTATTTTCCTTTCCACTCTCAGCTGGATAAAAATGCTCTCCAGAGTCTACATTGTCCCGAGCACAATAGCAGGCCTTGGAGAGGGTTTTCTGTATTTATTTGAGCTGTCCTCTGCTGCTGCTGCAAACACTAGCCCCCACATCCCACCCCACCCCCCACAGCTCTTCCCATCAGCAAAAAAGAAAATCTGGCTTGGAAACCCCTCCTCTCCAAAATAGGGGCTGTTTCTGCTTGGGCCCAGCAGGGTGTAGGGTGGCCCCTCCCACATTTCAGTGGGATCTGGTGGCAGCACAGATCCTTCCAGAAGCTTCCAGACCTACTGAGACTCCAATTCAAGGGATGGAGGCTAGAGAATCTTGGATGACATCAGCAGGTAACATTTTGGAGGGTCTACAGAGTGCTAGCTGCTAACCTGGATCCTCTATGTAGATTATTTTTTCACTTAGTCTGAGAAGGGTAACCCCAGGACTGAAGCATGCTCACTGGCTTGGCAGTGGGATTCTCACCCCCTCCACCTAGAAAGAATAC